TTTGCAGTCTAGGAGAGGAGGTCCCTGGGACCATCAAAGGGTAAGAGTGGAGAACGGAACCCTACCCAGAGAAGCAGTGATGCCAAAGATTGAGGCAGAGACGATGTGTGGAGAGATGGAGTGACTGGGGACTCTAGACCCAGAAAGGGAGAGGGGTTGTGTGCTGACAACCAGGGGGCAGGCTTAACGGGGTATACCCTTTGGTTGGTGGATGATGCATGGAGGGGATTGTAACTATGGCAATGAAACAATATACGATGCGATCAATGTGAAGCTAATGTTCTCCCATGTATCACATAGTTCACAATAAAGCATTAAAAGAAAAAAAAAAAAGAAAGAGGACAGAAGAACATGTAACTAGCATCACAGGATTGCAATAATTAAAATCCAAACTATAGGAAGTTATTCTATAGCACTAGCACCTTAGCTTTTTCGAGCGAACTACACAAAAAATATAAAGCAATAGGAAAATGAAAGATTCACAGACATAACAACTACATACAATGTATAGATGTATTCTGATCTTAATTCTAGCAAATGTTCTACACAAAAAGTATTTTGAGAGAAATCAGGAAGATTTCAACATTGACTCAACTCTGTTTATAAGACATAACCATATAACCATATCATTATCCTACCTGAAACAACAGTTCCTTCATATAGTTATCAATATCTTTTATTTTGTATAAATATCTGATGTTATACATAAAAATGATATAATGTCTGCATCAAATGATGTAATGAGATTTGCTTCAAAATAATCATGGGCAAGGAAAGAAGTCCGTAAGAATAAAAAGGAAACAAAATTGGACAGGAGTTGGTTATTATTTAAGATGTGCTCTACATATAGGAGGTTCATTATTAGCATTATTAGCTGGGTCATTTGAGAATCTAGATGTTTATAAATCCTTTACACACTTTATAAACTTGATTTATGTAACCTATTTACCATTTTAGCAGCTTCATCCAAATCATCACAAGCAAGAATTTTCAGTCCACTGTCTGCTATTAGTGCCTTAGCATCATCAACTCGTGTACCTGCAAAGAAAGGATTTATGCAAATATATAGGTGTTTTAAATATACACACAAAGTCATTTAAACTGCTTGCCATAGCACATTCTATAGCATGAAATTTCAACTTAAGAGTACTTCAACTACTTAATATAAATCATTCTAAACCAAAGAGAATATTGTAAAAGCCTTGCGTTATCTCATAAAATATACTGTCTTTCAATATTCACAGTAACTCAGTCAAGTCAGAGTTCAGATAAGCTACAAAGAAAAAAGGAAGTATAAAACTATAGCAAACAAAACAGCCATTGGGGGGGGCGGGGGCAATGTTAAAAGATGTTAAAGAAACAAAACATGATTTAAAATTTTTCCTATAGTATAATACTTTCATTAAAAAGATACAGCTGCCAAAAAAAAATCAGCTGCTTGAAAACTCCATTTTAAATGACCTGCACTGTTGGGAATTATAAACTTTGAAAGCAGTTCACAGAGCAGCCGCGAGCTCTGACACTCACCTTGCAACCGTACCACGATAGGGATTTTAATGTCCAAGTCCTTGACTGCCATGACTATACCCTGTGCAATAACATCGCACCGCATGATTCCTCCGAAAATGTTCACCAGAATAGCCTGGACCTGAGAATACAGAGGTTTGGGCAGATTAGAATGTAAGACAAATGAGGACTGGTCTTTCCTTCCCAAGAAAACACTAGTATCTGTGCCTTATAATAAAACTTCAGTCGGCATGGGTTAAGTGGGACAGAGGTAAATAATGATGTATGCACAACCTTGGATTGAGACATGGTTGGAATGGGCAAAAGCGGGGTTGGGGGGGTGGGATGTTAAGATGCTTGGTTGTCTTTTGAATCTTGGTTATCCTTGCATACCATTATAAAATAGACACTTGATGGGGAGAGAAACGAATAGCCAGAAATACCACCATAGAAAGCTTATAAGTCTGTCTTCTGCCTATAACTGATTGCAATACCTAAAATGGGGCTACAATGTGCCCAGTGAAGGAGGCTTCCTGTGGAGCCTCTACATTACATAAGACCATAGAGGTGGAATCCTGAACAACATCCAGAATCTTGAGGTGGGAAGTTTCCACTGGAAAGGACAAGCAGACCAGCCTGGAGCGGCTAGAAGAACAGAAGATATTCTTGAATGAAAGACCAACAAGAAAAATACGCAACAATAACAGCAGTCCATCTGACTATTACAAGAACAAACTAGTTGCTCGCCCAGGAGACATCAAGGGAAGCAGTCAGGTCCCCTCAGGGCAACACTACTTCCAAGACTAAGACTCAATGGGAATACACGAGCAGACATGTGCTCTGACTGGTGACCACGTTGGTCACCAATAAGGGGAAGTGAGGGAAAAACAGCAATGAAGCTGCGAGCTAAGTGCAATCACATTCAATAGACTCCTGTGAACCCGGGTGGAGACCTGGTTGGCCAGCAGTTTGGCAAGACCTAGGGACTCCTGGGCCTAGAGTCAGTGACATAGCCACAGAGGACTAGAGTCGAGAGTGAAGCGTCCAGCTGATAAGAAGAGAGGGCATATGCACAAGAACACCCACACTTGCAGATACTACCCACTTGACCTGACTTCAATGGCTGGATGATCAGAGCTCAACTAGAAGAAAGAAGAGGGAAAAAAGAGTAATCGGATACAATTTGATGAACTTGATCTACACCTATGGATGCAGTAGCTCAAAAGAGGGAACAAATCTTTACAGCAAGGATCATTCCCACCCACTTGATACACAGAGTAGACAGGGATAGGCAACTTGGCTACCCAAAATGCGAGGGGCTTCAAGGGCAAGAAGTGGCTGCCTTACAAGCTTTCAAGAGGGAGCCTAGATCCAGAGGGTGCAGGAAGGTAGAATCTCCACTGAGTAGTATCCAATCCGTCTGGGCAGGACTGATGAAAGGAGATGGGATAGCACTCAATAGTGAATAATTACTATCTGTGTGGGTTAGTAATGTAAAGGTAGATGTTTTGTAGCAAAAGGAGGGGAGTGATTGACTTTGCAGTCCAGGAGCGGAGGGCCTTGGGACCATCAAGGAAGAAGAGCGGAGAGCGGGACCCTACCCAGAGAAACAGTGACGCCAGAGATGGAGAGATGGTGCGACTGGGAACTCTAGACCCACTCTAGAGGGAAAGGAGCTATGTGCTGACGACCAAGGGGCAGGCTTTCGGGGTGTGCCCTTTAGTTGGTTGATGATGCATGGAGGGGAATGTAACCATGGCAATGTAACGATATATGATAGGATGAACGTAAAGCTAATGTTCTCCCATGTAAAGTAACACATAATTCACAATAAAAGAGTTAAAAAAGAAAAAGACATTAAATGACATAGCGCATTAGGCAAATCTGCTGCAAAAAACCTCTTTAAAGTGTTTAAGGGCAAATATATCAGTTTGAGGACTAATGTGTGCCTGACCCAAGCCATGGCAGTTTCAATAACCTTATGGTATTTTCAATAGCCTGATAAGCATAAGGAAAACAGTAGAAGAATCTATGTATTTAAGCTATGGTGTTGGAGAAGAATGGAGCGCCAGAAGCACAAACCAATCTGTGTTGGAAGAAGTACAGTCAGAGGGCTCCTTAGAAGCAAGGATGGCCAGACTTGCCTCTTACACTTCAGACATATTATCAGGAGGGACCAGTCCCTGGAGAAGACCATCATGCTTGGTAAAGTGAAGGGTCAGTGATAAAGGAAAAAACTCATGAGATTGATCGGCACACTGGCAGCACCAATGGGCTCAAACATAACAGCAATTGTGAGAATGGCGTAGGACCGAGCAGTGCTTTGTTTCGTTGTGAATAGGGTTGCTGTTAGTTGGAACCAGCTGGACAACAAACAGTGTGATGCTAATTATGTTTTAAAAAAAAAAAAACACAAAACCTTAATTCCACAGAAGTATTTCCAGAACACACTGCCCTACCATGGATGTGGGCACAGTCTACCACTCACCAGAATCAATTTCCACCTCCTGGGTGATTCCACCACCTCACTCACAATCTCTTCTCTACTTATCTGGATCAACAAAACAAACAAACAACTCCACTGCCAACAACTGCCTTGTTAGGTGCCATCGAGTCTGTTCCAACTCACAGTGACCTTATGCATAACAGAAATCACTGCCTGGTCCTGCGTCCTCTTCACAATTGTTACACTTGAGCCCACTGTTGCTGCCACTGTGTCAATCCATCTCGTTGGGGGTCTTCCTTTTTTTCGCTGACCTTCCATTTTACCAAGTATGACGTCCTTCTCGAGGGATTGGTCCCTCCTGATAACATGTCTGAAGCATAAGAGACGAAGTCTCACCATCTTGGCTTCTAAAAAAGCATTCTAGCTGTTCTCTTTCCAAGACAGAATTTGTTCTTCTGGTAGTCCATGGTACTTTCAATATTCTCCTCCAACATCATACTTCAAATGCACTGATTCCAACTCATAATCTCTATATAGGTTTCCCAAGACTATAAATCTTTACTGGAATAGACAGACTCATCCTTCTCCCTCATAGCAGCTCACTGGTTTGAACTTCCAACCTAGTTGTCAACAGTCCGTTGCTTATCCTACAGTGCCACCTATTCCATTAACTTATTTCCTATTAAACACATTCACCTACATGAAAGCATCCTACATCGTGTTATAAGCCAATATCACATGCAAGATCTCCAATTCAGTGTTTATTATCTATTATCTCTTCATTTATCTGCATCAACTCTACCAAAACACACTTTCTCAATCACTCAGGTTCTCCTATATGCTCACTTCTGGCTACACTTCAATCTAAATCTCAGGACCTGCTTGGGTCACCACTGTTTTCACCATCACACTGATAGTTCTGAATCATTGTGCTTCTGTCATTTCCAGGGAAAAAAGAAACAAAACAAAACTCATTTTTCAAGATGCTCGGTTAAGTCAGCTACACCAGAGCTCCTCAACCAGTGAGATACTAATGAGTTATAGATACACCAAAATAATGAGACAGCTGGAGACACTAGACTCTGGCTACAAACAACTTTCTCTAACTGTCTTCAATTCAGTTTCTGAGAATGCCATGACATGGGAAAGTCTTGAGCCCCATTGGACTATATATAATACTCATTCCTTGTACTCACTACCTCTGAACACCTAGATAAGAGGTTAGAATTCATAGTGGACTTCAGCACCTAATAACTCTCTTGTCTCTCTCCCACCCTTGTACCTTCAGCCTCATTCAGGGTGTCTTCAGTATTCACCACAAAGCATCAGCTAACATTTTAGACTGAAAGCTCCTAGATTTATGCCATCCTACTATCCCCTCCAGTCCATTTCAACTAACTGCTACCAAAGACAAAGCTTAACTTACCCAGAATGAGTGTCTCCAGAACATTAAATATGTAAATCACTCTCCACTCAACCTCACCTTTCACCTTAACTCCTTTTACCCTGAAACCTCCAGCCCAATTTTGACTTCCTCAGCCCTTTCCTAAGCTCCCAGTCTACGAGCTCCCAACAGGTGCGACTTTCTTCACGATAGAGCCTGGAGCCTACGTCTGAGCAGTTCATTCACATCTGTCTCTCTGCTCTCCCAGTTCAACAGTGCATCCTCCATAAATGCAGCCAATTATGTCATCCGTTCTAACATCAAGGAGAAGGTAAAGGGGAAAACCAACACAGAACCTACATTACTAGCCCAACCTTCAGAGCAGAGCAATAATGTTTCACTGGAAATCTTTTCCGTAAGCAGTTGGCCTCATACCTTAATTCTTGTCTTAAACCCCCATATCCCATTTCACGCTCACTTTCAGCACATAATCTAACTTTCACACTTTTTCATATTTCATCCAAAAAAAGAACGACACTTAAGGCAGGATCTTCAGCAATCTTCTTTTCCACCTCTAAACATACTTATCATAGACTCATTCTTCCCTTCTCCAATAACATCTCAAGGAAAGATCAGCCTCCTCTGCAAACTTAACCTCCCAACCTAAATACTGCATTGCATCTCCTCATTTAACATCATTTATTTAACTATCCTCATTCTGCTCTCTATCTTCAAATTCTTTTCTTCAGCTAAAATAGCTCATCTTCTTCTAAGACTTCTAAGCACACAAACAAGCAAAAAACATATACCATACCACTTCCCTTAATATTATCTTCCTTCAAATGAAAACACCATGCCCTTTCCTGCCTTCATGAAAAAATATTCTGACATAAAAGCTCTCATGGTTGCACTCAGTTCCTAATGACAACTCATTTCATTAACATCTGGCCCCTGATCCCCTACACCCCTCTCCTCTACTATTCTGATTCTCAGTAACTAGTTATTGTCAAGAAGAGTCTGACTCATGGTGACCTTGTGTGTCAGAGGAGAACACCTGAGTAGGATTTCTATTGGCTGATTTTTCAAGGTTACCAGCAGGCCTTTCTTCCCTGTGCCTCTGGGTGAATTCAAACTTCCAATCTTTCCATTAGAAGCTACCCAGGAACACTATTTTAACCCCCGTGATTATGGGGTTTTTAGTGAAGTAACAGATTACAGTTCAAGGTCAGAAATATTCAGGATATAGCTATTTGGTCAGGGCAGCCTCTTCTCAGACATGTCCACAGACACGCTTGTCTCTGGTCCCCAGCCT